AACCTAAAACGAATAAAAATTCACGATTTTCAAAAAATCGTATCGTCCTTATTTTTAGGAGTTATAGAACGATTTATATTTCAAATTGAAGCTGAAATCTTTCTCTTCAAGACCGTGGTCAAACTTAATTGCTTTTAATTATAAAAATGTTGAGATAAAAATTAATAAGTGAAGTAACAATTTTTAACTAAACCTAAAAGGAATGAAAATTCAGGATTTTCAAAAAATCGTCTTGATCTTATTTTTAGGAATTATGAAACGATTTATACATTAAAATGAAGCCGAAGCCTTCCTTTATAAGACTGTGTATAAACTTAAATACTTTTGATTATAAAAATCTTGAGATAAAAGTTAAAAGGTGAAGTCACAATTTTTAACTTATCCTAAAACGAATAAAAATTCAGGATTTTCAAAAAATCGTATTCTCCTTATTTTTAGGAGTTATGAAACGATTTATACTTAAAATTGAAGCTGAAACCTTCCTCTTCAAGACCGTATATAAACTTAATAGTTTTTGATTATAAAAATCTTGAGATAAAAGTTAAAAAGCCCTTACCCTGTCCCACCAGTTCATAAACTTTGTGTGGGTAAAATCTTTAATTATCTCAATCTGAGTTGATAAAGACGGAACGATTATCGGTTCAGGCTGAACAAGTCGAGTGTCCTTTTGTCCATTGAAGTATAACACAGTTATGCACTGCGACCTTTTCCAATGTCAGATGACAACCCATAACAAGTCCTGAGGTAATTGTTATTCATACTCAGGGCTAAAATAGCTTGTCTACTGTCAGTGTAAATTGTGAAAGTCTTACCTTTCAAGTTGGACCTGACAATAACGTCAAGTTGTATGGCGATTAACTCCGCCTGTAGGACGGTAGTACTTTTACCTAGAGTTCAGATACGTGGAGTCGAAGATCGTACGAAAAGACTCCGGCTTCAGCTCTTTTCCGTCTACTTGAACCATCAGTGTAGATTTTAAAGCTGTTTTTTACCTCTACTTCTGTGGAACTTGGGTGGGTGAGATATTTCTTCGTAAAAATGTGTTGTAGGGGTGTAANCTGTCACAAAGTTTCAAAATGTTTGACTTCTTGGGACACAAAGGGTTAATTAGTAGTGTTTGGTTAGTTTAATCTTGAGATATAATTAGAATTAATTAAAAAAATCAAATTGGAGTATCAAAAATGAGTTATTGACTGTTTACTAATTTAGATTTTTGCTATCTAGGTATTTATTACAGAATTTTACAACTTGAGGTTTATATTGGTTAAAATTTATGATTGTAAATAATATTTATTTGAAATTTTATTGCTGTATTATTAATTATTTATTTCAAAACTTTTTTATTTTACTCTAATTTTCAGTTAAATGAAATTCATTAATAAACCAAGCTCATTTTAAATATTTACACAGCGTGAATTACAATTTTACTACGAGATAAAACTGGATACAACCAAAATTGAAGTCAACAATGAACTCATTATACAGCTTGGGAAATTTATCTATGCAAAGTTAAATTCAAAAAATTCATAAATCTGGAAAAAATCAAATGCAAAATTCAAACCTAGGTCTAACATTTTTTTAATATATCTTTATTTTTTTTTCTAGTGTGGTCGTATGGTGGACCAAGACGCAATGAAAGGTCCAACACCAATAGAAGAATCTCGCGTTCAAACCGAAAAAGACCCAATCGTTAAAGAAAGTAAATTTGCGCGAGTTAAACGTCTGTTATCTGGTCAACAACAACAACAACAAAATCGTCAAAACCAACAAGCAACGACTTACGACGAAGCAAAAGCAAGCTGCAAAGCAAGGAAACGCAAAGAACGACAAGAAAGCGTCAGTTCGATTGTACAAGAACGTAAAGTGATCCGATCAAATTCCGAAGAACGACCAATTAATAAAGATGAAAAAGATATAAGAAGGGTTTCAAGTCACGAAGATTTTCAAAAAACACCGCCGAAATCGGTTGAAAATGACGTTGGTTTAAAAGTGGTTGTTGAAGATCAAACAAAAAAAGTTTCTCCATGTCGAGACGTCAGCATTGATGTTTTTATTTACCACGATGAGAGCGAATTTGAAAGAAGAAGGTCGCACGAGAGGTTTTCAAAACCCATGATGGGACAAAGGCCTAAGTATTCTATGCACGGACGCAAACCAAGGGTAAAACATTTCCATAAGAAAGATAAATTAGATGCCCAACATGTTGTAAGAAGAGTTAGTCCAAAACGAACTCAAGAAAATGATTTGAAAAAGATTGACATAAAAAGTAACGATTTGAAATGTAACGATTTAAAAAAAAATAATATTAACGATGAAGAAATTTCATGTAATTTCCTTCAACTTCGTAATAGCGAAGAAAAAGAACGATCACCAAGTCCCGTAAACACTCCGATTTCGCCTCCTTTAGATTTAAGTACATTACATGAGCAAATAGACTGTTCAGAACCAATACCTTCCAGTTCCAATCGATTAATATGCGAAAATACGGAGACTATGCCGAGTTTATCGGTAGCATCGAATCGTTTATTATTATCTCCAAGAAATTCCGTTATCATTACTCAACGTATTTATTTAAGTTCTGAAGTGCCGCAAAATAACACGACGAGAGGTACCGAAGAAAGAAACCCAAAAGAGGAAAAACTGAAACAAATCGCCAAACAAATCAACAGCATCAAGAAAAAGTTAAAAAAATACGATGAAGAATTTGAAACGAAATTCGGATATAGACCATCGCATGCCGATAAACTTAATGATAAAACAATGAAGAAATTGTGCGCCGAATTAAGCAAATTGAAAAAAGAACAAAAACAATTAAAAGAGAACGATGAATATTTTATGGACGGCGATGAAAATGAAAAAGGAACTAAAATTAAAAAAGAAGCGAGTTTGCAAGATACTTTGATGGAGATTGAAAATGTAAAATTCTTCTTTGATTTAAAAATTAATCATTAATTCATCTTTTTTTTTTAGAGATTAAATGCTAAAAGAGTTGTTGGTGAACGTAGCGAAACTATAGAACAAATGAGTAATGAACAACTCGTCGAAGAGAAAATCGCAGTACAAAAGGCTCTTTTACATCTTGAATCGATGCATGGTCGACCAACAAACAAAGAAGATAGAGATTTAGTTCGGCCAATTTATGATCGATACCGTCAACTAAAACGGATGGTTCGATTAACAACGGTAAATAAATTAAATATTAATTAATTAATCCATTCATTTATTATTTTTGTTTTAGCCCTGCAACAATATAAACGAATTGGCAACAATTCTTGAACACGAAACGATGGATTTCGTTTCAGCACCGACACAAACCCCCGATACAGAAGCTGATAAACAGAACACAACTGGAACGAGTACCGATAGTGATACAGACACTTCCGTTGGGGAAAATTTACATTCCCTAAGTTATGAAGAATTAACAAACGAACATCGACTGGCAACGGAAGAAAAGAAAAATTTACGGCGATCGTTAAAACAATTCGAAGAAGATTTCCAAACAAGGACTGGAAAAAAACTACAAAAAGAAGATAAAACTCCGATGGAGCACATTTACAGTCAGTACAAGAAAACGAAGGCCAAGTTGAGATTGTTAGATGCACTTTTAGGAAAGCAAGCGTTGTAATTTAAAAATCAATGATGAATAAGAATCATCAACAATTCAATCTATCAATCAATGAATGAAAATGAATGGCGGAAAGGAAAGTTATATTAGACTTTCATTGTTTAGGTTATTTTGGAAGAATCTGAATGTTGATTATGAGGATAAGGTCTTTTTTATCATTTATGATCTAAGTGGTTTTTTTTTTGTCTTAATTTTTAATTAATTCTACTGGAGGTTTAAGATTTTTTTAAGAAAATAAATGTGTATATACATGTATTTGATCTTCCTTATTATAAAATACAGAATACGAATAAACGTGTGTAGCTACAAAATAGAAAAACTTATTACTTATTATGTATTCTTTATTGAATAAATGATTCCAAAAACTTATCCCCTTACTCGTTTATATCGTTTTACACTTACAGCCATTTTTAGGCTTATGATTTTGAGACCTGCTGAAATTTAATAAATCAGAAGTAGAGTACATAAATTGGTTTTTTAATTAATAATAAATAATTAAGTTTGATAAAGATAGATCTGGTAAATTTAATTCTATCAGAAAATGAAATTATTAATAATAGTACACGAAATGCAATGAATCTAAGTACTTACACTGTATCAGAAAACAATAATAGTTAGTAATCTTAAAGTTGTTGTTTTAAGGATTAATCTAACCCTGCTTCAACCTTTTATTGTCAAAATTCTTTCCGCTCAGAATTTTCGGAGATTTTTTACTGAGGTACTGAGTCATATCTTATTTTTTGTTGCAAAATTCTCGTATTCTCGTTCAATTTCTTCCATCTTACAGATATAGCCACAATTTTCAGATTACATGCAGTTGGGTTACAAACAGAGCAAATATTTAGACAAATACTGTATTTATGCAAGCAAAACTTTTAGATGGTGCATCAAAATGTAACATTTGTATGTATGTATGTATGTAGGAAAGGGGAGGGTATGCTTCAGCATACAGCACCTAAGCCCCAACGGGCCCCTTGTACATCCTCCTGCACTCTCTCCTGCTACATTACCAGCCTAAGGAATTTCCGAAGGCTAGGATACAGCTCAGAGGTGTGTTCCTGATGGCCATTCCTCTCCGAAGTCTCTTATTCTGAGGTCTTGCAGAGTAGGGCAGTCACACAAGATGTGTGGAACCGTCTCCTCGGTCTCTTCATAAAAGCCACAAAGAGGACTAACAGCAAGCTTAAGGTTATAAAGATGCTTGTTTACCTTCAAATGACCCGTGACGAGTCCCGTTACAGTTCGTAGAGTGTTTCTATCAAGCCTTGCGAAAGACAAGGCTGCCTCTGCTGAGGGAAAACGTAATACTTCTTTAGGCAGATATTTTTAGGAGTTATGAAACGATTTATACTTCAAATTGAAGCTGAAACCTTGCTCTTCATGACCGTGTATAAACTTTAATACTTTTCATTATAAAAATCTTGAGATAAAAGTTAAAAGGTGAAGTCACAATTTTTAACTTATCCTAAAACGAATAAAAATTCAGGATTTTTAAAAAATCGTATTCTCCTTATTTTTAGGAGTTATGAAACGATTTATACTTAAAATTGAAGCTGAAACCTTCCTCTTCAAGACCGTATATAAACTTAATAGTTTTTGGTTATGAAAATCTTGAGATAAAAGTTAAAATGTGCGGTAACAATTTATAACTTAACCTAAAACGAATAAAAATTCACGATTTTCAAAAAATCGTATCGTCCTTATTTTTAGGAGTTATAGAACGATTTATATTTCAAATTGAAGCTGAAATCTTTCTCTTCAAGACCGTGGTCAAACTTAATTGCTTTTAATTATAAAAATGTTGAGATAAAAATTAATAAGTGAAGTAACAATTTTTAACTAAACCTAAAAGGAATGAAAATTCAGGATTTTCAAAAAATCGTCTTGACCTTATTTTTAGGAATTATGAAACGATTTATACATTAAAATGAAGCCGAAGCCTTCCTTTATAAGACTGTGTATAAACTTAAATACTTTTGATTATAAAAATCTTGAGATAAAAGTTAAAAGGTGAAGTCACAATTTTTAACTTATTCTAATACGAATAAAAATTCAGGATTTTCAAAAAATCGTATTCTCCTTATTTTTAGGAGTTATGAAACGATTTATACTTAAAATTGAAGCTGAAACCTTCCTCTTCAAGACCGTATATAAACTTAATAGTTTTTGGTTATGAAAATCTTGAGATAAAAGTTAAAATGTGCGGTAACAATTTATAACTTAACCTAAAACGAATAAAAATTCACGATTTTCAAAAAATCGTATCGTCCTTATTTTTAGGAGTTATAGAACGATTTATATTTCAAATTGAAGCTGAAATCTTTCTCTTCAAGACCGTGGTCAAACTTAATTGCTTTTAATTATAAAAATGTTGAGATAAAAATTAATAAGTGAAGTAACAATTTTTAACTAAACCTAAAAGGAATGAAAATTCAGGATTTTCAAAAAATCGTCTTGACCTTATTTTTAGGAATTATGAAACGATTTATACATTAAAATGAAGCCGAAGCCTTCCTTTATAAGACTGTGTATAAACTTAAATACTTTTGATTATAAAAATCTTGAGATAAAAGTTAAAAGGTGAAGTCACAATTTTTAACTTATTCTAATACGAATAAAAATTCAGGATTTTCAAAAAATCGTATTCTCCTTATTTTTAGGAGTTATGAAACGATTTATACTTAAAATTGAAGCTGAAACCTTCCTCTTCAAGACCGTATATAAACTTAATAGTTTTTGGTTATGAAAATCTTGAGATAAAAGTTAAAATGTGCGGTAACAATTTATAACTTAACCTAAAACGAATAAAAATTCACGATTTTCAAAAAATCGTATCGTCCTTATTTTTAGGAGTTATAGAACGATTTATATTTCAAATTGAAGCTGAAATCTTTCTCTTCAAGACCGTGGTCAAACTTAATTGCTTTTAATTATAAAAATGTTGAGATAAAAATTAATAAGTGAAGTAACAATTTTTAACTAAACCTAAAAGGAATGAAAATTCAGGATTTTCAAAAAATCGTCTTGACCTTATTTTTAGGAATTATGAAACGATTTATACATTAAAATGAAGCCGAAGCCTTCCTTTATAAGACTGTGTATAAACTTAAATACTTTTGATTATAAAAATCTTGAGATAAAAGTTAAAAGGTGAAGTCACAATTTTTAACTTATTCTAATACGAATAAAAATTCAGGATTTTCAAAAAATCGTATTCTCCTTATTTTTAGGAGTTATGAAACGATTTATACTTAAAATTGAAGCTGAAACCTTCCTCTTCAAGACCGTATATAAACTTAATAGTTTTTGGTTATGAAAATCTTGAGATAAAAGTTAAAATGTGCGGTAACAATTTATAACTTAACCTAAAACGAATAAAAATTCACGATTTTCAAAAAATCGTATCGTCCTTATTTTTAGGAGTTATAGAACGATTTATATTTCAAATTGAAGCTGAAATCTTTCTCTTCAAGACCGTGGTCAAACTTAATTGCTTTTAATTATAAAAATGTTGAGATAAAAATTAATAAGTGAAGTAACAATTTTTAACTAAACCTAAAAGGAATGAAAATTCAGGATTTTCAAAAAATCGTCTTGACCTTATTTTTAGGAATTATGAAACGATTTATACATTAAAATGAAGCCGAAGCCTTCCTTTATAAGACTGTGTATAAACTTAAATACTTTTGATTATAAAAATCTTGAGATAAAAGTTAAAAGGTGAAGTCACAATTTTTAACTTATCCTAAAACGAATAAAAATTCAGGATTTTCAAAAAATCGTATTCTCCTTATTTTTAGGAGTTATGAAACGATTTATACTTAAAATTGAAGCTGAAACCTTCCTCTTCAAGACCGTATATAAACTTAATAGTTTTTGATTATAAAAATCTTGAGATAAAAGTTAAAAAGCCCTTACCCTGTCCCACCAGTTCATAAACTTTGTGTGGGTAAAATCTTTAATTATCTCAATCTGAGTTGATAAAGACGGAACGATTATCGGTTCAGGCTTAACAAGTCGAGTGTCCTTTTGCCCATTGAAGTATAACACAGTTATGCACTGCGACCTTCTCCAATGTCAGATGACAACCCATAACAAGTTCTGAGGTAATTGTTATTCATACTCAGGGCTAAAATAGCTTGTCTACTGTCAGTGTAAATTGTGAAAGTCTTACCTTCCAAATTGGATCTGACAATAACGTCAAGTTGTATGGCGATTAACTCCGCCTGTATGACGGTGGCACTTTTACCTAAAGGTTCAGATACGCGAAGTCGAAGATCGTACGAAAAGACTCCGGTTTCAGCTCTTTTCCGTCTACTTGAACCATCAGTGTAGATTTTAAGGCTGTTTTTTACCTCTACTTCTGTGGAACTTGCGTGGGTGAGAGATTTCTTCGTAAAAATGTGTTGTAGGGGTGTGAAGTCCGTTTTACATTCCAGAATTGGTGAGTAATCCAACATTTCCTTCCAGAGAATGGCATTTTTACTATCTCTCTCACCTATTAGAAATCCTGCTGCCCGCAGTCGAATCGTGGTCACCAGTGCCACCTCTTGAGTGAACAAATGAAGTGGTGTAAGGTTCAACATGTTTTCCATGGCTCTAGTGCTCTGTACTTTATTAAGTGCAGCAGTGGATGTAGACTGCAAGGTCTTTGACCACCATACTGCTGCACCATATGTAAGCATAGGTCGGATTATAGCCGTATAAGTCCAGAGGGCCCTCTTTTTTACTCTATTATCTAGGTGAGCTCCCCATGTCATTTTATTGTCAAGTGTGATGCCCAGATATNGATGTAGACTGCAAGGTCTTTGACCACCATACTACTGCACCATAAGTAAGCATAGGTCGGATTATAGCCGTATAAGTCCAGAGGGCCCTCTTTTTTACTCTATTATCTAGGTGAGCTCCCCATGTCATTTTATTGTCAAGTGTGATGCCCAGATATGTGACTTCTTTTGACAAAACCAATGGAGTATTAGCAAGGGATGGCATTCTGGGCTTGCCAAACTTCCTTCATTCGTGTGAAAAGACTCAACTCTGTCTTCTTAGGATTCACAGAGAGTCTTTGTTTGTCACACCAAAACTCTATCAATTTGAGAGCTACTTGCATCCTATCAAAAAACACGTTTATGTACTTGCCTTTGAGTAGAATGGTTAAGTTATCTGCGTAACCAACTGTAGTAAGTTGGCTTCAGTGAGGCGTTTCAAGAGGCTATCCAAGGTGAGATTCCACAAAAATGAGGATAGTATACCCTCTTGTGGACAGCGTCGAGTAACTCCTCCATGGAGACTAACATCGCCAGCCCTAAGCTTCACTCTATGTTTAAGAG